ATTCATTACCAGCTCAGTTCAGTGGAGCAGGGACGACGTGGTGGACCCTAACATTGTACTAAAGATTACATAGGTCCTTGCCTTTGAATCATGGTGGCTCTCTTAAGACCTTGTTCATATATTTTCTCGCAAGAACTGGTACTGGTTTTGGGTTTCGAATCGTTTACAACCCCCATCTCCCGCAATAAGTCGTCTCCCCCCTGCCTCGCAGGTAAACAACACTTCTGAACTGGTTGCTTCAGTCCTAGAGTCAATTGCATTGGCTGATCTGCCTAACACCTTTCGATGAAAGATGAAAGATATCGGGCGTCAGTCGGAGCGGAACTCCTATGTGCTTGAAGCGACTGCCGATGAGGCTATTATCCCAACTTCTTTCGTTTCTTTTTCTTATTTCAAAAACAAATAAACAACAACTGAAAATGACACTTGACATTTGCGGTAATTTTTTTTAGAAATGTCTTTTTGGTAATCTAAAAAACAATTAATATTGCAAGATCAGCCTAGGTAAGTTTTACGAAAGTTTCCAATGTGTTTGTTATTTCTTGAAGGCCCACATATAACTATAAGTTTTAAGGATGAATATCGTAATTTAGTAATATTCTTTCAATTTGAAGACTTATTTTTTCAAAAATATCAGAGTACAAAATAATCTGCATTTTTATAAATTAGTATATTGTGCATTAAACTACATTTGAGTCATGAGTGACCAAAAAGGTTTACCAAACCTGTTGCATATTATACTTGTTCTACGATCATACTTTACAGAAGGGATTAGAAAAAAAATCATGAGATATTTAAGTACCTTTTAAATCGAGGCCGCTTTAATTTTAAAATGTATAAAATATGTAATTATTCCATCGATTTTTTATGCCAAATATAAATCGTAGGAAATATTTAGGGTTATTGACTTGTTACCATATTTAATAAGGTATTTTCATAACAATAACAAAGATTAAAAGCAAAACGCAATGACTGTTAGTTATAACTAAATGGGGAATAAAATTTATAATGAACTTAAATTAGGTCACCATTACCTTTATAACATAACATAAATTAGTCGTTACGTACACATACTGCTTTTATAAATATGTAATGATATAGCGACAGGATATCAAAAAGACTCCCTTCACGTTATTATTGTTTTGCTGTAGTTTGAGCTATAATGAAATGCGGTGGAATCAGCAATTAATCTTGAAGCTTCACTGTCAGTTAAAATCAAAATTGCTTATTTTCATACGGCGGTCTGTTTTAAAGTCAATCTTTGCCAAGTAAATAATATTGAATAATATTGATCTAACCGAGAGGTTATTTATTCATACGTCAATCAGTCAGTATGCAATCTTCTTTGTTGGTTACCGCTACGTTTATTAGGCAACCAGTAAAACTCGTTAAGTTTCACATTTTTGCTTGATCCGAGGAGTTTTATTTCGATCCCTAGATACCGCCACTCTCTTCATGCCATTTACTAGCAGCTCATAATTTAATATTTCTTTGCATTCGTTTTTTTACTAATAATTATATTCAAATCACACGGCAAGGTGCGCAACCATGCAGCGATCGATGGTTCCACCCGATAGGATGAGCCATATATTGACTATTAATTTTATTCGCAGTATCGATACCTCGACTGAGAGGACTTCCAGTATCTAATAGCTTTCTTAAAATTATATGTAGAAGATCTAGACGATTTCTAAACAGACAACGGTAAGTTTTTTTTTTCTCGTTCCTCCATTTTGTTCAAACCATGCCGCAATTCGGTACCTTTGGCGCTTATTTCTGTTACTTGCGTATTTTAGATTGAAGTCAAATAATTCCTCTTCATTAAGCTACCAAACATCGGACCGGTTTCTCGATTAATCGGATGTAGGCGCCGCAGTCCTAACGTCCAAGACGAGTGGAAAATCAGAACCCGTGTAACGTGTTTTATTTCACTACATCACTCTAATTTTTGGGTTTTGTAAATAATTTCTGTCTGATCTATCTTTATTAAGAACATATCTATAATATTCTTTCTTAACTAGGGTTCTTCTCTAAGGGTTTTATATTGCGAGACAGATCAGTAGGAATTCCTAGAGTTATTAACGACGACCCTGTTACTGGCCGCTTACATCACCAGACCAGGCTGCCAACCGGGTTTGCTCGTCGCGCATTATTAGTACTGAAATTTAGTAACGATATTTTTTTTTCTTTTCGGTCTTATTTGCCTAAGTCAGTTCTATCCCCGGATAATATATTGGGGTTAATTTACAAATATAAGCCGACGTGATCACGAAGGTACGGGGGTAGTTTAGTGATACTACCAACATTTTAATTATGCACAACTTATTAAATAATTCCTTTTTTTGTGTTGCTCTTTCTTTTCTTGACGTGCCCCGCAGGTCCAGAGTCCAGGCGTGTAACGAAATACCCAATACCACACAGGGGGAATTCTGATACATTCCGTCGCAGACCAGTGGCGCCCAATAACCCACCCCTACCCTCCGGCTAACTTAATTTACTTTGGTTGTCGCCGAGCTAGGGCATAAGTGTTCGTTATATACATTTTTCTTCTTTTTTTTAATATTCCAATTTTCTAATCTAAATTTTCAAAAAAAAAACGTGTCAAGTTATCCAGTTAGCCAACCTCATTTTCTCTCCTGTAGTGTTGACCGAGGCCGCCAATGGAGATTCCATATAATCCTTACATCTTTACGGTCAACTGCAGTATTTCTTAGAACCGCCATTACAAAACTATAACTGTGTTCGACTCAATGAAATCGGGGGAGATTAGGCAAAGAAAGGTAGTTAGTCTATGATGTTACTATTAACAGTCTTTAAAGGCGTTTGACACCACTTCGTATAATCCGGGTGGCGTTTATTTTGAAGAATCACCCACCCCATCCTCAATATCGAGCGGACGATAATAAAACGATCTCCCCGATGCCGGATATCCAAGGGTTTCGGGCTCAGGTGGCCGACATCGTCGAAAAAAAAAAGATCCGCGCATATATCCCGAAAATATGTTTCATTATAACCGAAAAATCCACTTACCCCGGCAGTTTTCATTACGTCACGCAATATTTACGAGCAATAAGCCCTCCACCTGCAGCTTGCCCGTGCCCCGTGCTTTTTCATCGTTTCCGCTTCCATTCCGGCGATGGGATGAAACGGTCGTTTGTGGATTATACATATACGCGTCGAAAGAAATACGTCCGGCCGACGTGAGCGAGGGGACATCTTAATTTTAAAAATGGCGACGCATCTTTTGTGAATCTATCGCATTTTTTTCGAAAATTTCACCATAGCAAGGGGCAAGCGTTCGACATCCGCTTATTATGTGGTCGATCGATTCAGTTTGTTCTCCGCACATTCTACATTTGTCTGTTGGAATATTTTACTTCATTAGGTATTTTTTATAATTTCTTGTTGCAATGACCTGGTCTTGTATTGATATTACAAATGCTTCGGTTTCGGCTTCAGTATTATTATTATTATTATTATTATTATTACAGGGTGAGACAAACTGAGAACTTTTAAAGAGAACTTATTAACTTGAATCTGAAATACCTCTTACGTGTTACATACTTTTAAAAAGGTCTTAATAAAATTATTAAAAGACACATAGGGTGTTCTATTACGAAAACACAGACTAAGATTGTATATTAAAGTTTATACACAGGCCAGGAAATTTGCGACAGACTAGCTAATACTTTTAGTTGCAGACAACAACGACGAAATACGATGAAAAATAGACAAACCAAGAAATAATGACATCTGTCTGACAAATGGTATCGTAAAAGTTGTGTTCTACGTGGGAAACGTTGGTTCTATACGAACGAAGTATGTCTGAGTAAATCCTTGGTAAAAGCATATTCTTCCCCGTAGAATACGTAGTAGAATATAGAAAACGTTGCCGTTACTACTCACACGCATTACATTTTACGGGACATATCCGCCAACGGGTTCGTCGAATATTTGCGTCAATAAAAAAAATTTAAACGAAAAAGTAACAAATTACTTTGAAACACAAACGCTCGCGTGGCGCGCCAGAATAGACAGCTAATTCGGAGCATATCGCGCCGCCAGTATTTTAATTAGCAAGTGGAATGAAGGTTTCGTTCTGCAGAGCCGCTCCAAGACAAATAGCTCCAAGTAACGGCAGCAATCAGCGCCGGACTACATTTCCAGCCGAACCTCTCTCTCTCTCTCTCTCTCTCTCTCTCTCTCCTTAACAATGCCTGATTTGGCAAAGCCCTTTTGTACCTGTCTTTTACCGAGGTACGGGAATTAGCATGACAATAGGACACTAGAAACATGTCGCTGTAGCGGTAACATATTATGCGATGGACGCGGACTGAATAGTTCAGGGTTTTCCTACGCCTAAAGGGCCTATATATAGACTCTTGTGGTCCATTAAACCTGTTGAGCTTATACGATTACGCCAGGGAGAAGTTGATAATTGGAGAGGAGCATCGTACTTGTACGTATGCTTGAATAGGGCGTTAATTTTCTAAAAACGCTGGCAAAACCCCAAGATCGTTCGATTATCGAAATGTCGGTGCCTATAAATGACGTCAGGACGCGTCCACGCGTAATATCAGCTGTCGCCCATCGAACCCGCGTCATCTCGGGACCTTTTGGCGACGTTTTTCGCTCTCCCGACGCAGCAGACAATAAAACATCTCCCACCCCGAAAGGTCCTAACCTAGATTCCCGTGTTTCCGTATCCTTCTCTTCGGACGTGCCAGAGCGTCTCGTCCCCTCTATATTAATAGCGCACCGGAGATTTGAAGGGCCGATCAAGCGAGTCATTAGGACGACCCTTAAAATTTAGAGACGTCGGGGACGATGGCAACGGGTCGACCGTACCGCCCGACGAAATTGAATAACTTTTATTCGCGGTGTACAGGAAGATTTTCTTTTATTACAAAAAGTGTAAAACATCCTTTTTTTATCGCTGCCTTATAAAAATGCATTTGAGAATACCATCAGGGAAATGAAACGTCACTGCTAAATTTTTCTATACACAATGTAAGCTTTATTTACATTAATTTCATATAATGACATCGTACAAACGAAAAAACGAACGGAAAAACGTCTTATTGCACCGTTACAAAAATAGTTCAGTCTTTATTTACAAAAATGACTTTTAGAGTGTGTGTAAAATGTGGCATGCGACGGCAACGACGGCGCGGCGTTTCCTCGGAGAAAATTCCGTACGGACGTCAAACTTTTCGCGCGATACGAACTTTTAAAATATTTCCGTCCTTAAATCTGTCCGGGAAAGTCGATTTGAAAACAGGAAAACTTTTCCATCGAAAAGATTGACTCGTTCACGCCGGAACGGATACCGTATTCGGACAGCCGAGGCGAAATTTTGATGTACAAGTGCGAGTCGTAACCTCCTGGGTCATGAAAGCTCGGCGGCACCGCCACTGTATATTTCGACATGGAAATGGACAAAACCAAATATTTGCAAATAGTGATTTTAAGGAGAAACGGCAAGGCATTATTTTAAAATAATGAAAAGATTTAGCAAAATGAAATATCTTCGTGTAAAAAAATAAATAGGAACTAAAAGTTCAGATTTTCACCAAATTATATATTTCACACGGTGTTGTCGAAACAATTGTCATGTCAAAATATATAATTTCGGGAAAACCTGAACTTTTAGTTCTTATTTATTTTGATGAATGGATTTTCATCAAGTAAAAGCCACCTCAGTTCAGAAATCATATTTCCTTATCCACTACTCCTAGAAAAAAATACATTCTCAATAATTGATCCACTAGTAAATACAGACACAACAAAATCACGTCGACCTTCCAACCATTTTAACCCATTTTGTCCCAGTGGTGCGTTAATGCACCACATATTCTATGATTTTTTAAATCCTTTAAAAATAACATTTGTTTGATCTTTATCAGGCAGCGGCATATACGATTTTCTCCACATTCATGTCAGAATATATTATAGTGCTGCGGTTCAAATTTTCGATGAATAAGTGCTCGTCATATACTCCGGTATTATGAAAACTCGTCGCCGTAGCCGCGAATAACGTTAAAACCCGAAAAAGTAGAACGTGCCGGCGACGACGTCTATGCGTCAAAAGGAAAATGCAGCTCAATATACGTAAAGGTGATTTCTGTACAAACATTCAATGACCATGTGGCGAAATTTAAGAGCGACAGAAAGACATATCTACGACGCGTAACTCGGAAAGTTCCGATTTAAAGGAACGGCTGTCATAATAATACGGATAAGAAAAATATCTTTGCACACTATATACGTCGATAAACGTGCTCTTTAAGTGGAAATTGATGAACAATTAGTACTACACACCGATCGGTAACACTTAAATTAACGGTCTTTTGGAATACCCCACAAGCACAGTTCCCACTACGCGCGTTTTATCACAATCGTTCAACGGAAACTAGAAACACTTTGGTATGAAATTGCTCACGTTCGAATCCATTAGATGAGCAGGATCAGCAGCATGAGGACCGCCGAATACGTAATACGTGATGTCCCGCTGGTACCGTACCCCGCCATGCCCTGCTGGCTTATGCCGTAGACTGCTGGCTGAGCTGACGGTTCCACCATGTTCTCCATGTCTGCCAACAGAATTACAGTTAGCTCCAGGAAAAATGGTTATATCCCTGGACTTACCGTTAGACCTCGTGGTAAAATGGAAAGCGGGTGACATCTTATTCCAGCCGTGCTCGTTCTTGGCCTGAACTCTAGCTTCGTACGTAGTTGCCGGTTGCAGGTTCCTTATGATGTAAGACATCCTCTGACGCGTGACTCCTGGATACGGTGCGGGTACCGAACCCAAGTACGTGCTAGTTACACCATATCCTGGTATAATCTGCAAGTTGGGAAGAGTAAGTATCATATTGCGAAGAAGAGCAACCAAGGCCACTTACGACGTTGTTCCAATCGTTCCTGAACCCGATCCTGGTGTTGTTGGCTCTTATATCGTCCTGGTAGTGAGAATGGTGATGCCTCGGTTGCTGCCGGTAGTACAGTTTGTACTCGATGACCGACGCGTGGCTGTTTACGGACCACGATATGTTGTATTGGTCTTTATCGGGTCCTAAGGACGGCGAGTCAAACAGCGCCGTGCTAGCGGTTCCAGTAAGTTCCAGATTGCCCCTGGATTTACCGTGCATATTGCTCGCGACGCAGCTGCAGAAAAATAAACCGACGGGTTTCTTAAATAGAGTTTGCAGGAGTTGCGAGAACGAAACAATCATCTCCGCATTTTTTGTCGTCAACCGCCCCCCGCGGGGGAAGGGGGTGTTCTTTAACTTTTCCAGTTGGAGATCCTCGTCGGAAAGTTTTAATAATGATAAAGCGACCCGGATAAACGCGTTTTCGATTACGTTGTCTTTACTGCTTCTTAACATCGGATTACCGGGGGTGGGTGCGACGAGGCGGTATGGACACTCCAGTGAAATGAGGTTATTTTTCCGGCTCGGGGACTGGCATGTTGCTACCGAGTTAATTAATGTTTAAGGTAAAGGAAAGACGGCTGTCAATTGCAGCCAATCTCGAAAGTATGTAAGACTAATTGAAAAGATGGCGGTCCAGTGTTTTTGTTCGCAATTAAGCGTTTTATCGGCGTGGTCAATTGGACTGCCGATTCGATTAGAGCGGAAACATATTCCTCCTTCGTTGTCGCAGGCCATAACTGGCAAATGGGATATCTGTGCGATCGCTCGTCAGACCGAGTAATATAGGAACGCGGTTCGGTCGCATTGATTGATGGGTGTAATTTTCATGTTTATTGAACTGACGATGATCGAGTCGGACTAACGCGTTCTCGTTCGGACGTCCTATGGTCGTGTTACTAGTAGATATCGGACGCAGATTGACGTGGGAACAGTGGCTCCCAAGTAAACAAAAGGAAGCGAGAAGTTCGCGGGACATGGAAAGCATCAACGCGAATTTGAGAGAGGGAAATTTAAATCGTGATGTCACCCAAAGGGTGCAGAAAGTCACTGGTGACAACATCGCGGGTGTCGGTAAGTATCGGTCAAGTTTTCCTAGTCGAACAAAACCGGACAAGATCGGAAAACAAGTTCAAATGCAAAAGTTTGAAGATTTTTGCTCTATTATCTTATGCAAATATCAGAAAAAAAGAACGACGATCGCAAGCTGTCAAAATGACAGCAACATCTTTTTTTTAATGAATTGCCCTGATTTCATATAGCTTATTGACATTTTATTTAGCCGTTTTTAAACAATAGCCTTATTATAAGAGAAAGACTTAATACCGTATTACAAGATCCAAACAAACTTTTGTATTTACTCTCTTTTTCTATCTCTCAAAACGAGCCATGTAGGTGGGTATCAAAATATAATGAATAACCCAGTACTTGTCAGGTATTTTAATGAAGTGGGAAACTCCGCGATGCGGCGACACTGTCCCGACGACGATAAACTTTTCATTCGGCGCCATTTAAAGTCAATATTTGCGTTCCCTATTTTTCTCACCCCTTTTCCCAGCCGCGATGAATGATTTAGGAACTTCCGAGCTGACTTGGAAAATGTCGACGTCGTTCTGAAGGAGTCCTATAGAGAGTGAACGAGAGCCGAAACGCGTGTTTGTAATCGGATTTCGATCGGGAACGACGATCGGCACTTTTTAACTTGCGCGGAACGGCAATTTCCCTTTCGGGAAGGGATAAGAAAAAAGGTATACCGGGGTAGGGGGAACCCATCTGCGAGATTATATCCAGTCTCTGGCCAAGATTGGAAAGCAGATTTAACGTAATTGTGGTTAGGCCGATCGTTCAACCAGGAACCTTTCTTCGTGCCCTCTGATCCAACTAAATCGCCTAAAGTATAAAGGCCCATTCCTGCGGTAATGGCCGCATATCGCATACAATTCTTTTATTTAAATTCCATTTAATGATAGACAGAAACTTTCTGCCCAATGGCTCTTTTGGATAGAATTTGATTGTCCAAATTACAAGAGAAATAATAATACTCAGTGATATTTAGCAACCTTAACTTAGTCGCCACTTACGTCAGTCTCCAGATGGCGTGACTTAGAAGTTTATCACTTTTCTGTGGATACAGTGTCTTGGTTCTGATAATGAGAGATAACGAGAGCACGAAAGATCCTACCTAAACATAACATGCCACATCCTTCATCAAATTTAATTTAACTGAAATGTACCTAGAGGAAACGGATCATTTTCGTCCCTCAGCATGGTTCCAATATCAATTTATTTTTCCCTTCTGAAATTCAAAACCGCTTCATATACGTCTTGCTCCCCTATATAATAATGTAATCTTAGATGGTCATTGTGGAAATCCTAAATGTTAACTTGTTACTATCGGGTTTTGATTTGGTTATTTTAAATATTTTAAATTTTTTCAAATCATTAAAAGAAGGACTTCATATGTGGCTCAATTTTCTTAGAAGTATGTTTATGTCGCCTGCAGGCATATTATCATTTGGCCCACTGCTCGAACGAACGTTTCACTCAAAGGATTCCGAAAGATTTCTCTTTTCACGCCGCTGACGAAGAAACGTCCCTCTCTTATATCCACAAAACGATCAGGAACATCTTCGGGATCCCGCCGCCAAGCTTGTTATCGGCAAAGCTCCATGTTTGAGCTTGTTTTGCATACTTAATTCGGATTTGAAGGCGGTAAGTTTCTCCAACTTTTGCGAGGATAGCGGATTTCCTGAATCTCTAATACAGACGTCGGCTGAATTGCGTACGTGAAACAAAAACGGAAAAGGTTTCGCTCTATCCGCGAAAAATAATTTCTTAGGAGACTTTGTTTTCCGCGAATAATAAAAAAACATCGCTACAGGAGAACGAAAAGAAAAGCATTTCTCGACTTTTTTGTCAATCGCTAGGGAGTAAGATTACGATTTGAGGCGTGAAAAGAGATGGTCCGATTCCGATGAGGCAACTGCGAAACCACCAGTAACGCATTTTTTTATTAAAGTACTAGATAAATTGTAGCAACTCGAGGTGTCGCCACAACCATGCTGTACGCTGTTATTTTGTTCAACTAACATTGTTACACCTCATTTTGATGCATGATCAGTTAATGTGGAGTGTCAACCAAGCAACTTACATTAAAACATACGAATGGATTGTCAATTACGCGACTTCAGCGTGACTATAGGTTATAGAAAATAAAATAACTTAATTGAAAAAAATAAAAATATAAAATATAATGGGTGGAATGAAATTTTAAAGCGATTAGGTAAGCCAGTAAAACAAATTTGATTTTATTTGAAATTTATTCAAATAAACAATAACAAAAATTAAAGATAAAATTTGAAAATAATATTGATGTATTATTACAAGCATCGGTTTGATTCACTTTTTCTTGAACAAAGTATACTCATATGCATTCCATGTAAAGCTGCGATGCAATTGGGAAAATTCCATTTAAGGGAAAACTGTACGGCTGTACACAGGCAGTGGCACGAAAATTGGGGGTAGATACTGGGTCTTAAAAGTGAAGAAGGCCATATTTCTATCTGATTATACAAAATGCAACGCCACTGTTTATTACAGTGGATGATTGTAAAAGACCTTGGAAAAACATTCACGACACGTACAATAGACGTAAACGAAATAGGTTACAAAACTATCTTCCTATTATCACTCGTTCAGGAGTACTTCAAACATTCCGAATTCGAATGCGCTAGAGAGCGATGTTGCAGAAAACACGCAAACTGCTTCCGAAATCAGTGAAAATGAAGCACACAGAAGAAACTCTTTGAGGTAGGCGATTTTTGAGGGTGGATTCGGCGTCTCCGGCCCGAAAAAACCCTCTACGCCGATTTCGAGCCGATTCGGCCGGCAAACCTCCGAGATAGCAAACTTTTTCAAATTTGAGAAGGCGCCCTCAAAAAAAAAAGCATAGACGGGGTATAGGATATGGGCCTTCAGAATGATGCCCGAGTATAAGCGCGTCGACGTAGGTACCCAGTTTTTCGGTCCGTCCCATAGGAGACGAGATCCTCCCGAACCTCAAAACCTCCTCAATTTTGAGGGGGGTCCTTTTTGAGGGTTTCGGTGCGCCTCGGGCCCCTCTACACGCGTATGCCCTCCGCGTCCGGTCCGACCTCAAATAACTCCGGAAAACTCCAAAAACCTCAAAATGACGACCTCCTCAAAAGTGATTTTTTGAGGTCGCCCCTCCTCAAGAATTTTTTCTGAATCCGATGAAGCGAACCCCGACGCCCCAACTCTGGGCCCGCCACCTTGCCCCCCAAGAAAAAAAAATTACCGGTTTTTTCATGTGTGTTTTGTCAGAAAGCAATTTGCCAAAATCTAATAAAATTATTCAGACAGAAGGGGAAGTAAACAGAGACGAATTTGATAGAGAGACCAGTTCAAAAGGAAATGGTGAAGCGAAGAAGTTCTGCGCGTCATTCAAAATAATAGGAACGAAAGATGGCTATATCTGTTAAGCAGCTCTCACCTTCCTCTCAAAGAAACGCTAAAGTGGTACTATGTAGAGCTTTTGGTGAGCTGGAATTGGATCCGTCAACTAGTTTCTCTTATTATCCTACTGAATCTCCTCCCATCACAATCACACATACTGTCGACCATCTACTGGCTTCTTCAACCACTCACTAATGAACCCTCTCCTATTACAAAGTTAGCCTTTTCCAATATAAATTAAATATGAATAATAAATAAATAGAAAAGCAAATACATTTATTTAGCTTATTGAACATTTAACTAGTCCACATGAGTGCTTTTTTAGGTCATCCTCAATCAGAGTTAATAAAAATATTGAACTGAAAACTTCATAATTTACTTTCGTTTTGTAATAGGTGTCCCCGAACTAAAATGTTTCCAGAACCCTCTTCCCCTCGGGTACAGAAAATACAGGGCTGCTTCGTAAAGGATACGCGAGTAATAATGATAATAAAAGTTCTTCTTCCTCTTCTTTATTTTCTAAATCGGACCACAAAGCCACTGCTTCTATTGATAACTTGAAAGATGGTTTAAGTGTCGCTTAATTGACACACATATAGACCGCAAAAGTCGGACGTTTGTAACAGCGCGGCTGTAGCCGCTGCAGTCCTCGTTTGACACTTCACCTTTATTTTGCATGTTCGAACTGGTTTTGAAGTTACAAAAAAAAGGACTCACCTGTAATTTCCAAAATCCGCCATAGTTACGTTGCGAATGACGAGGGTGTATCTGTTACCCCTCGCTTGGGTGGCGTGTTGTTCAGTGGTACCCAGCTGGGCGGTATCTTTGAACCATAGAACCTGCAACGAAAAACGCTTGTTACTCTTAATATTTACATTAGTTTCTTAAATTTCATCTTAATTTCATTTATTTCCTCGTCACAGTATAGGAAAATGTCAGATGAAAAATATGACATTTTCAAAAAAGTGGGGAGGTCCTATACAAAAATACTACTCCAAAAAAATGTCCCCGAACCGAAACGCGTCGATCGATACACGTTCGAAATTAAAAATGAAAAATTGATGAATGACCGACGGCTATCCACAATATAACGTCAAATAATAGCCGGTAACGAGATTGAGTTAAACCAAGTTTAAACCGCGGTTCAGTGGGGTCCGATCATATATCGAAAATCGAAAAATTTGGTTAAATACCGATAGGAGTGCGATTAAAACGAATAACGAGAGCTTTTGGAAACGCGTGCATATTTAAATAAATTGTTAGCGAATCTCTGCGCATTTTTTGCAAGCGTCATATCCAAAGAACATCTATAATTGTTATTAGGTCGAAAAACATAAAACAAAAGTAACTGGAACCAATTATCACTAAAATCGAGTTTTTAGGCCGAAGTAGTTGTAGAACCCTCGCATCCTATCTACTAGTTTATTTAGAACAGCATAGGGAAAAAGCGAATGCGTCTGAAAATACACTCTGCGTTGTTATATATTCGCTGGGAACAGTTTTGCACCCTGTACGTCTTTATAATTTATAAATTCTCAAACCTTTCATTAGGTTTAGTTATTGACGTCTTCTGGTTTATACAAAACTTAGAGCAGCTGTAAAATGAAAACTTGACTGTCGTTGACTATAATATTTTGACAATTCGTTGGAAAAATTTTCCTCTTTGCTTTGGAGATAAACAAGCAAAACGTTCGTAATTCGCACCATCCAAAGAAGTAGTACCATACTTGTGCTGGTTCTGCTTCACTTTTAGAGAAAATTTTTGAATTGTCTTCAATTATTATTTACGTTTGGATTAAGGCATACGTTTACTTTTATCATGTCTCTTTGCTCGTTGCGTCATTGTCACTTCTTCGTCGGCTGCGCCTTCATTGCCTTATATGGGTATGAAGTTCCTTATATTGTTCGCCCGACGATATACCGTTTTAAGATCCGCGTGTTCTTTGCAGTAAGTGTATCACAAGCCAGGGCCGTATTTAAGATGTTAGCCGACAAGAACTGTGTTGTATTTTAAAAAATTTTCTTTGAAATTAATTCATATTAGCGTGCTTTTCATAAATCTTCCTAAAAGGTAGCTCGATTTCAATTTGAACTTGCCCATTAGATAGGTTCATCTCTTATATTAAAATCACATTATAAAGCTTAAACTGATTTCCAAATCAATGACCCTAAAATATTTTGTTGTTTTTGTTGTTGTTGTTAGTTTGCTGGTTAATTTGTGTATTGATTGAATGATTTCTATTTTCTTAGCCGTCGAAGCTTTGGAGTTATTCCTATTCCGTCTTCTGTTTGTAATTAATAATTACCAACTTACTGTTATTCAATTGTTTTTCAAGGCTCAGTAACATTATTCGATTTTCTGAGTCACTTGCGACGAAGTTGATATTGTTGATGATGAACATCCGTCAAATTCAAATGGATCGGCATTTGTAAGCACGAAGTACCGAAGTACGGTTCTGGAACGTCATTGTGGAATTGAGAATCTATATATTGATGGTTATAAAGGTAAACCTGCGGTTAGATCTTCATAAAAATTACCAAACGTAAATACCGGATTATGTCGTAAAAACGGTATATCGTTGACGAACTTTAACTAAGTATTTTGGAATGGGAATCCGTTATGATGAAGCCTCTTGACAAATGGCGTTTTAGACACTCCTTCATTACTACCAAGCGTTTGCCTGGGTTGGCGACCAAAATTTTATAATCTTTGGCTATGCTAGTTCGTCGCTTGGTCTCAACGGTGGTTGTTAATTCTATTTCTCCCTTTCAATTTTTATCAAAAACCAAACATTATTCAGTAAAACTTTCGAGTTTGAAATAGAGAAAGCGGCTGCTCAATCTCAACTGCGTTTTTAATCGGTTAAAATTCACGCTTCAAACGTCAGGCGGGGAAAAGTTTCCTCAACAAAAACTCCTAGGAGGTTGCCCCGGTATAACCAAAAGTTCAAAATTGCCCTTTATACAAATTGCGAGTGGTAATATTTTTGACTTGGTGCACGTTCGAAATATAACGCAGTTTGCGGAATTTACGTGGAAAATGCGTCCTTCCACGTCTCGTGGTCGGTATGAAAAATTTATTAACAAAGCATGAATTACGTGCCATTACGGCGTTATGGCACGGTTGTTCTACGTGCGACCGCGTCGTCATAACGCCATAATGGCCGGCCGTTGTCGCGATTTTCGTTATTTTATCGCCGGCCTTTTGAGTTCGCCGGGTGATTTCAGGTAAGTATTAAATCCCGAAATCCCATTTAAAGCGGGGTAATAAATATTTACTGTGCCATAAAATGTCGAAGGCAAATATAACATTTAAGGGCCGAATTATCGGCAGGTCGGCAAAGTTACCAATTGTTACCGAGCAGATACATTGTAATATCCCTTAACTTACGTTCTACACTCTTCAATAGCACTTGTTGATGTCCGATAAAGTGGGAATCTCGCAGTTAAGAAAACTGGGATTAGTATTTACGAACCGTTGTCTCGAACGGTTTGATCTAACCGCAGTGAGAGAAAAAGTGAGAATACCTATAGTTTTATGGGCCTGTACATATATTTGTGTGTTTGGTTTAGTTTGGTCAGGTCCGTACTTTGCTTAATTTTGTTAGGAAAGGTACTAAACAATATTTATTTATTTATGTATGCATTTACGTTTAAATCTGAAATAAAATTACAAATTACTTTTATTACCTACTTAAATTAATTAAAATTATTCACATAATATATCAGTATCGCTATCATCAGCTGTTCTAATTATTATTTGTTCTATATCATTTGCAATATGGATATACGATTGTTCTGCTTTTTCTATATGTTTAACAGAATTTGCCCAACTTTGTGGAGGGATGTTAAAAACTTTGGAACACGAGGAAAAGTATTGTTACGACAAATGGCAGATTTCAGTTGGCGCCAAACATATTTAATGGGAAGGTGGTAAGGTGGAAGCCTAGATTTTTTGCATAATTATCACAGACTTATTCCTTTTGTGGGTTAAGCTTTCTAGAATCTCGATTAATTGTTTTTTGGTATTATCTTCGTGAAAATAAATGTCATTATTATACATGTAGTTTTGGATTGTTGCTTTTGTGTCACATGAGGAACGGGTTTTAGTCAACTGTCTACTGTGATAACTTGCATTGTCCATCACAATTACGCTATCAGGAGGAATGTTTAAAACTAGTTTGTTTTTAAACCAACTTTCAAATAAATCAGCGGTGATGTCTTCATTGTAATCCAGAAAAGAATCGTTAATATTTTTCGCAGGCAGAGAAAATCCATTTGGAATCCAAGCAAAATAGTTATTCTTTTACCTCTTTTTGATGGCGCGTTTGTTTTACACTTATCAGTTGAGTTAACCCAATCCTTCTCCGGGGTATCATTAGTGTCGAACCAGGTTTCATCCAAGTAAATAATTGGTCTTTGATGTTTAAACTCTTCTCAACTACCAAACACTGTGATAAATATATAATCGCACCAAGTTTCGGAAACGGAAAAATCAATTCTTTCAAAAAGTTCTTTCCAGGTCCTTGCCCCACGTATTATCCCAAAAGAGGAAATCATTTCAAATGTCGAGTCTATCCTAAACAAACTGCCACCTCAAACGGCTAATGAAATTCGATTTGAAACCGTAAAAATCCTTAAAAAATCAAAACCTTGTAATTCTAGTACTCCAAAGCCTGAACGCATTGCCCTAAAATCTTTAAAATCTAATCCTGACATCCTAATCCTAAAAGCCGATAAAGGAAATGCTGGTCATGAACACAAATGAATATCAGAAAAAGATTCAAGATATTTTTACAGACGGATCATATCGTCAACTTAAAAAAGGTCCTACGTCATCTATGGACCTCAAACTTAAATCTGTCATTAAGGCTTCTTCTCACACTACTTAAAAAAATCTGCCACCCTTCATGACTAAAATTCTTCGTCCCTACGGACTCCCAAAAATTCCACTGTGCCGTGCGGACTATTAAATTTTAAGAGTAGGGAAACTATCTTTGATTAAACCGTTATATTAATTAATTAATTAAGAAGTTGAGATTGGAGATCGATGACGTAATAGTCGTTGATGATGAACATCCGTCAAATTCTAAGATCAAAGATTCGGACACATTTGCCGCTTGTCCCCAAAATTATAATTTTAAATGTATTTCTGTCTCTGAAATCGATAAATGGGGACAGTGGAGCCATAAAATTAACGTCCGAGATGACCGAAACACCGTATGCAACAGTACTTGACAAAGTTGTAAATGGTGTCCAAGAAAGAAAAACGCGAAAGGATCGTGGGGTCCCAAAAAGTCTACTTAACATACACCATGCCGCAATAGTGGGACGGTTGATATATGATGTGTATCATAAATGTGTGTTTTAGCAATTTAAACTTTACATGAAGAGTTGCGGAGTGTTTTGAATATTGACTGTTACCAAGAGACTTTGCCTGAGTTCGTACGAAGAACAATACGAATCAATAAGAGACAAGTTTTGATCGAATCAAGAAGAATTTCGGCATTGGTATGCACGAAGTACCGAAGTACGGTTCTTGAACGTCATTGTGGAATGGCGAATCTATTTATTAAGGTTTGGAAATAGAAACCTTAAAAACTTTAATACTGGATTGTTATAAAAACCGTATATCGGTAGGCGAACTATACATATATGATGACATTAGCGTCAAGTGAAATTTTTCACTTTACTTTTTTCTGTCCTGATCAATATAAATGTTAAAATATGAAATCTAGAGAAGCTGGCAGATTCAAGACTTACGACGTGCGACCAAAACAAACCAAACCAAACCAAAAACGAAATATTGTAACGACCTCTGGAACTATGTCGTGAAACTGGAATAAACTTCTGCGAAGATGCAGGGAACGTTGCCAACTCTATATCGCTATATAAATACAATACAATACAGTGTTTGACGTTGGATTTTATATTGTTATTAAGGGGTTATTAACCGTGACATCGAGTTAAACTGGGGTCAACATAAACGGAAAGGCCCCAGATCCAATAAAAATGATGTCGCGTCTCTTGGAAAACTGTTCGACCGACATATTTTCGTCCTTATTGAAAACGACGACGGTCCGGAATATTTCGCCGTTCTGCTCCGGGCATCGGCATTTAACGCAATATGCTGACCGTGCGCAAACTTCCTTATACAGAAAGACTTTTATTCAAGTACGTCGGGCCCTTTGGAAGCATTAAGCTGTACCCGGGGGGGCGATTTTTTGCATGCGGACGAACGAAACATCTGAAGGGGTTTTTCGGTTAACGCTCGGGATTTGCAACGACGCGCTTTTGCCTCCTCAAAAACGGGTTTGCGATTCAATGGTGTTGGATATCGGAACGCGAAGTCTCTTTAATTTATTCGAAAAATGAAGTTGTAGCCGTCCAAGGTAAACGAATCGATCAACCGCTGGACCCTCGGAACGAGTAAGCAAAAATTTTTGAATTGGTCTTGGAGGCCTAAAACCGTAAAAGACGTTAACGTTAAATTTTCTCGTAGTAGTTAAGAACTACCAAAAACTCAACAATCTAAATAATTTACTCCTTTTGTAACAGAACAGTAAATTTCAAGTCAAAACGCTCCGCTCTTTGGGTGTGAATTTCTTTAAGCCGTTGGTGGCGAAGTCCCTTAAAACTACGGTACGTTGGGTGTAGCTTCCTTTTAGTTGTGGTTTGTTCATAGATATAAGAAAATGACCAATTGCTTTTGAATGGGAGTATCCAAGGGTGGTCATTAACATACAACGCAACGAGATTATTATCTAAAGTTTCGGAATTTAAAATCAGGTAATAGAAATAATATAATAATATAAATAATAATAACTAATAGAAAATAATTTTATACGTGTGTAATATTCTTTTGTTTGGCATACTACTTAGTTTAAGTTTATTAGTAATCATTCTTATTTCGTGTGTAATACAGCGTGTGTTGAATCGTGTGCGAATTATGCAAAATATGTGCGAGTCTAGTGATCTCAGGAGATGCTCCCGCCCAAATGTAGAAAACACTATTCTATCGAGACTAAGGAAGTTATAAACAATGTTTATTTGACTCTCATTGAACGTGGTGCCAGCGAGCAAGCATCTTTAGAAGAAACGGCCACATTGACGAAAATTCCAATTTCAACTGTATGGAAAATTGTGAATAATCCCATTTCAGCGCGGAAAAAAAGAAGCGATGCTGACATTTTCTCGAGTATAGATGAAGGTGATCAAAATATAATACGGCGTAAAATTTACCAGTTATACGGGGAACAAAGCGTGCCTACATTAGATATCTTAATTAAGAGGCTTGAAAAAGATGGAAGTGTCTTTAACACATGGATTTTAGATTTAAAAAAAATGACAAAAGGCAAGTTTTAATAGAATCTTTTAGAATTCGAAAATGGCGACTGGAATATCTAGAAAAAATTAGGATTCACAGAGAACAACAAAGGCCAATTATTTACTTGGATGAAACCTGGTTCGACACTTATGATACTGAAGGGTTGGGTTGACTCAACTGAAAAGCGTAAAACAAACGCGCCATCAAAAAGAGGTAAAAGAATAACTATTTTGCATGCTGGCTCTAAAGATGGTTGGATTCCAATTGGACTTTCTCTGTCTGCGAAAAATATTAAAGATTCTTCTCTGGATTACCATGAAGACACCACCGCTGATTTCTTTGAAAGTTGGTTTAAAAACAAACATTCCTCCTAATAGCGTAATTGTAATGGACAATGCAAGTTATTACAGTAGACAGTTGACTAAAACCCCTTCCTCATGTGACACAAAAGCAAACCAAAACTACATGTATAATAACGACATTTATTTTCACGAAGATTATACCAAAAAGCAATTAATTGAGGTTCTACAAAGCTTGAACCTACAAAAGGAATACGTCTGTGATAATTATGCGAAAAATCTGGGGCATACAGTTTTAAGGCTTCCACCTTACCAGATTAGGTTAGATTTAATCCCATTGAACATGTTTGGCACCAACTGAAATCTGCCATTCGTCGTAACAATGTTTTTCCCCGTGTCCAACAACTCCAATGTCCTCAAACTTATAGAAACCGAAGTTTTTAATATCCCTCCATAAAGTTGGGCAAATTCTGTTAAACATATGGAAAAAGCAGAACAATCCTATATCCATATTGCAAATAATAATTAGAACAGGCGATGATAGCGACAGTGATACTGATATATTATGTTTTAAGTAATTTAAGTAGGTAATAAAAATAATTTGTAATTTTATTTTAGACTTAAACATAAATACGTACATAAATAAATAAATATTGTTTAGTATCTTTCCTAACAAAACCCCAAATAATTAAATTCTAAGCAAAGTACGGACCTGTTCGGCCATATTTCATTCTTACAGCTTGCCCGGGTCTTTCCTTACTTCGTATCAGTTAGTCACTTTCTTATATCTATGAATGAATGAATGAAGACTTTACATCTTCACCCGCCTATATTCCTTATAATTACGTCTTTTTGGCCGTATCTTCATGTGTTCCCACTCCATATATTTCTATTAGTAATTAGTTATGCTTATTCAAGACAGTTTAAGAATCTTTTGACTCGTTCGTTTCGGTTGGAGCAAGAAGGAGCGCAAATCGTGAATAAATATTTGAAAAATCTTACCTGTGGCCCGGGTTCGGCATGCACGAGACAAACCAATTGGGCTTCGAGGCCGACTCCCGTGTGTACGTAAGATCGTTCGGTCTCCACCTCGGGAGGGTCTGAAACAGATAGAAAATTCTCCTTTATTGCCGCCACTACGGTTCGCGTTGTGTTTTATCCTGGACGATTGTTTATTAACGCCGAATCGGGTATTACCCGTAGCAAAAAAAAAATGCTAGGCCTACGACGTCGATAACTTTTTTGTTTTTAAAAATATCAAGGTAAAGAAAAAAACAAAATGTAGTGTTAGTAGCCAAGTTTTTTTCCAAGTAACGTATAAAACAAAACACAATCAATTTTCGGACATATAAGCCTACATCACATATCATGACTGACAAATAAAGATATGTTTATGTTTGACAGATCAGTAAAGCTGCTCCAAACCAGATATTTCTTAGGCTGGCGAAGAAATTTGCAGAAAACGGTAACGTATTAAATGTTAACAAAGTATATCTCTAAAAGCACAAAAGTAACAGTCAATTAAAACGTTATCAAGATAAATTGAACGCACGGTACATGGTCCTATTCAATATTCCACGGTCGGGCGTGTTATCAACCACGCGTCTATGCGGCAAAAATTCATTGTTCATAATCTCGATTCCCTACTCCATTTTAATCCTCTGCTATGAAACCAGACGGTTTAAGTGGTTTAAGGCCCTTTATATACATTGGGAAATTCTTTGTGTAGAACATTGTAATTGATAGATGTGAGAAGAGGGTGAATTCGGTGCGGTTAGCTTTTGGAGATATCTATGTAAATATTGAAATTTTGAAATCAACTATTATCAAAAAGTTATTATCATGCATATTTTCGAATTTGCTAACATCTAAATATTCAAAGTCTAAGCGGTTCCTTTTCAATAAATGTAAAAGTAACGGCTATTGTGTTGAGTTTAAAGTATGGATTACAAAAAAAAGAAGAAAATCTTTGGCATTCGTGACACCCCGTATACCAAAAATCGATTACAATTTACGCTGAGCCGTTTATCTCCGGCTCGCGACCTCGTAATTGAGGAACAATGTTTACCGAGCTGAGAAAACGAGTTTTTCCGAAGGCTACGATGATACATTTCGTCGCTAATAAAATACGGAAAACAGTCCCGGCCACTTTCAGTCCCGCACCCAAGAGACTTTAAAGTATTTGATAAATTCGCTCCCCAGCGTGCAACAAAGGCAAAATCTCAGTCTACAAGATTATCAATATTATATGTCGATGGAGGAACGAACAAACAAAGGAGGATCGATCGTTCCTCCCGGTAACTTTTGTTTTCCTTTCGAAAAACATTTTGTTTTTTTAGGAAGCGATTCATTATTTGCTCGCGGACACCACGGGTGGGGTTGCTTCGTTTTTTCGTAACCAAAAGGCGCCACTTATAGAAAATCCGTATACCTACTCTGCGGGCCATTGAAATAAAGATTTTAGAACAGAAAATGTTCAGATGTCCACTATTTTAAATGACAGCTGTTTCGTCAACACCGTGCTTTTATCAAATACAAAATATGACGATATTCCGACACCTACGGATTCGCCCAATGTTGACTAATATAAAGAGGGAGCAATAAAAGATGTAAATGCTCATTAAATAGTGACTTTTTATTGTTAAGTCAAGCTTTCGACCAAGTATTCAGGATTCCTCAGGACTCTAAAATGTGAAAGGGAAACACTCTATTACAAAAACAAGGCATGTCAATACATACATAAATTTGCCATTAATTAACCTCTAACCGCAGAGGGGGCACGAGACTTCTCGCTTAAATAGAGAACCAGCTGTTAGCCATTAGTAAAGACTGTACAGATTAAAGTAGTAAAACAAACTAGTCAATAATTATGTAAAGTCACTCTAAATGCAGTTCAAATACACAAGCAAAATACTTGACAGTTGGTAAAATCGTCAGGCACATGCAAAGAAAACTTGACAGGCCAAAGAATCATCACGTTAGAAACCCACGGTGAAAGAGGAGATACAGTAATTTCAACATTTGACTGGATCATCGGCCCACCGAAATTTTACACCTAAACCAACACTACAGAACGTTTCTTGAATAGCAATCTGAGAATTTCAATTTTTTCGTAAATGTTTGTAGCCATTTTGTATCTGTGAGGGTGATTTGAGTTATTATCTATTATTGTGTCCGTGTGTGAGGGTTTATGAATGAGGGTAAATGAAAAAATTTAATTTTTTCTGTAGTTTAGTTATAGTATAAGTCCAGAAAGTTTAGAAAGTTATTTAGTTTCTGCTCTGTGGTAAATTTTATACTGTAGTTGTCTTTCCGTTCGAGTGGAATAAGAAAAAATATCATCTACATATCTAAATCACCAGAGAAATCCTTTACTCGTGATATTTTCTGAATTGTCCATGACAATCTCTGCAAGTAGTGGACTAATAATCTTTTAGCAACATAAAATTGACCATTAAATTCAAAACAAACTATTAAACTATCTAGAAAGTCTTGTTTAATGATTGGGTTGGCTCGCCTCTAGGTGAGAATATTGTGGAATGTTGGGAAATAGATTTTGCACTTCAAATGAAACTAGAATTGCCTTAATGTCTTTAATCTTGTTAATTAATGAATTTTTGATAACATATCTAGGTTTAAAAGCAGTGTGATATTTTAAAATTTTTATTAATCTTGTTGAGGATTTAACTAATGTTGTTACAAAAGAAACTACAGGCCTAATTGGAATATCCTGTTTGTGTTATTATTTAATTAAAAAATATAATTTTGGAGGTTGAGAATTCATGATTATTAGTTTGTGTTTTTCCTTTTCATTAAAAAGTGACGAATCGGTAATTACAGTTTTGATTTGTTTTTGATATAATTCGATGGGATTATCTTGTATACTTTGGTATATGTTTGATTTAAAAAACTGTTTGGTTTTTGTTATATATTCTAGAGAATCGACAGCAATGTCTTTCCTGTATCTGCTATTGTAAATACTATATTATTTTGGGAACCTTAATTTTAATTGATTTTACCATAGACATATGTGAAATATCTTGGAATTTACTGCTAGTTTTAAGTTGAGATTTTATTAAATTAGCTAATACGTATTTCTTTAGGATATTGTCGTTATGAACTTTAATAGCAAAATCGTAAGCAACCCCTAAACAATGTAACTCTTTATTGGTGTTTAAGTAATTATCATTAAAGTTTGAACCCTTTTTCAACAATTCGAACTCTTTCCTAGAGAATGTAGTATTAGTCAAATAAATAAATCTATTGAAAAATTCATGATTGAAAAAGTTTTTTAGTGGGTCTTTTGTCTAAGATACTTAATGTTTTATATACCAGTTCGGATTTTATTAATTAAAATAAATTCAATTCCAGTGGATTAAGTCTATGAGATAATTCAGAATTACATAAATCCATTGATGGTTTTGTTCCTCTTTCAACCAATTTGTCCGGCTTTGGAGTAGGACTTTTCTTGCAGCAGGACTGTTGTTGCTTTTTAGTTTAATAAATTTGGGATATATTCTGTTGTGTAAGCATTTGTTGAAAAACCAGATGTTGGGAGTATATATTCGGCATCGTAGTAATGGTTTAAAATACCAAATAGCGAGGAAACCATTTTCAGCTTCTTTCAAGAATTCAATTCCAAAAATCAGTGTGTTTTAATTTAAGCAGAAAATAAATAACGTTTGCCTAAAATATTTTACCCCAAGATTGCTCCCTAGAGATGGTGGATGCAGAACTAAGTAATCGCTACTACTTGCATAGTTTCGATATTACAGGATTTCATTTATGTTTTATTGTTTATCTAGTTATTTTTATCAGGCAATGCAGAAAATTAAATGAAAAAGGGCGTAATTGGCAATTTAAATAGTGCATTCTTCCCACTGCCACTGCAATTTTTCGCAATTATTTTGGCGGTCGAGCGGGCGAAATTTCCTTTGGAAATTCGCCGACCAGTGGAAACTTTAAAAAATATGCAACCGGCTCGACGCCCGGAATTTCGCAAATTAAATTCGAATCTATTTGTTTTCGCAGTATTTAATTTCGGCCGATGCATCGATTTAATTTAATTTGTTAACTCGCGGTCCCCAATTTTTTGCTTTTATCTGCTCCCCGTACCCCCACCCCCCGCAGCCTGTAATATAAATTCCGTTTTTCAAATGTTTATTCAACAATTTCCGGCTAAAATAACACGACGCGATTTTGCTCAGGCCGGATAATTTAGTAAACGTAACGACTAAACATAAGCTGTCAAAATTCGCGCCCCTGCATAAAAAGTGAATTTTATTATAAGAACTGCTAAAAGGGTTGCTTTCTTCCTAATATATGACATATAATACAAACTGCTTTTAACTGAAACGGTTCAGGAGCAGTTTGCTTACCAATTTATATTCATCAAAAACAAAGGAATTCAAAATTTTAAATCTCAAATCAGAAACGTTAATCTCGAAGCTCTAATTTTCAATCTTGCATCTTAAGCCGCAAATCCGTATATTAATTAATTAATTAATCATTAAGATTGAAACTTCGATATTAATTCTTATCATCTGGAACATTTAATTTTACATCTTGAATCTTAAATAACAAATACTACGAAAAATCTTATATTTAACGTCTTAAATAACTCGTCATAACTTAAATCTTGAAAACATTTCTACGGGGGCGGCTTTAGGTTCTCTTTAACATGTATATTAAGTGGAACCGAATGGAGGGCATAAATTGATATACTTGGTCTACAAATTTTATGGATTGATGGATTATTGTTGGTTCCTTTATGTTAGCTTTTAGCCATGCCTTTGGAGGGGTCTTTTATTAGATTTAATTAATGAATTAATTAAATTAAAAATATACTGCCAAGTCTAAAATTAAAATCTTTCAAATCCTGAATTCAAAATTTAAATATTATATGTTACATTTTAAATCGTTTAAATCTCGAATTAAAATCTTTTAAGTCCTGAATTAAAATCTATTAAATACTGAATTTAAACCTGCTAAGTCATCAATTTAAATCCTAAATCTTAAATCTTTTAAACCCTAAATTTAAATCTTTTAAATACTAAATTTCAATTTTCGTTCTTAACTCTCTCAAATCCTGCCCTTAAATGTTAAATTTAAATCTTAAAAATTCTGTATAAAATCTTACATCTTAAGTTTTTTAAATCCGGAATTTTAATCTTTCATGTCCTGAATTTAAATCTTAAATCTTTTTAGCCCTAAATTTAAATCTAAATTCTCAATTTACATCTTAAATCTTATAAGTTTTAAATCTTGAATCATAAATATAAACCCTTTAAATCCTGAATGTAATTCTTAAATCTTATATTTGAACCTTTGAAATACTAAATTTAAATCTTTGAAATCCTGAATTTAAATTTTAAATCTTAAATCTGTGAAATCCCGAATATAAATCTTATATTTTAAATATTAAACTTGAATCTTTTTAATCTTGATTTTAAATCTTAAATATTAAACCTTTTCTTTTCTAAATTTAAGTCTTACTGAATTTTGATGGTAAATTAAAATCTTAAATTTAAATCTTCAAAATTCTGAATATAATATTTTTAAGTCCCGAGTTTAAATCTTAAATCATAAATTTGAAGCTTTTAAATCTTGAATTAAAATCTTTTAAATCTTACATTATGAATTAAATCATAAATCTATCAGCATAGTTTTTCATTCTCAAATCGTAAGCGTTACCCGTTTCCCGTGAACCTATTTATTAATTTCGGCCATTCTCAATTTTTCCGGACAGAAGAGCAGGTCGCGAGAGTACGCGCTGATAAAAACGTCACGGAGCGAAAGAATAAAACGCGAGAGCGGCTGCACAGTCAGAAAGTCGCAATGATTTAAGATAAGAGCCGGGGTCCCAAGACGACCACTACAATGATATCTTGTTGCAGTTAAATTTTAAACGAGAAAAGCTCAACTTTATTAACTTTTTTTTCTGTCTGTTTGTCTCGGCGCGTCGTCTTCTTTTTCCTTTGTGCGATAACAAAAAGCCTCTCCAGTGATATATTGAAAACCGACTTTTTCGCTTCGTTGTTTTCGGGTTCGTTTGAGCGGACGGCGAAAAACTCTTTTTTTCCGGGGCCGGATCGGACAATATTTTCGTTTGGCCGATGATAATTCGACCGGAAACTGGAATGCAAAGTCGCGACGTTTCTCTTTGACCTTTGATAAGGAAGACTGGGGCGGATAAAGTTTTGAGTCTCCAAAGGGTTGCCGGTAATTAATGAACTCGGCCAAAGAAATGAAATTAGCAATTTAAATTCCTCCCGACGATGATGAGCAAAACAAAATGTCGATCGTCCGAGAGTTGGGTTTCCTGAGACACCGCTTTTTGTAATCAACGAACTTTAGATTGTAACCGGGTCAACTTTGTACGGGGTATCTCCAAGATATGATTGGTGATCTCTGAAAATAGGTTTATTTTTCTTTTGCCTACGTTTTTCAGATGCTGGTTTCTTTGTTTTAAATGTCCACAGTTGTATTTGCTTTCTTACTGTTCCAGCAACCAATTGATTTTCAAGCCATCGTTCCACTCAAGTTGTTATATCCGCTTCTTTATTCTTACAAAACTTTCATCATATTTTTACTATTATTTGACGCGCCAGTAGCCTTCAACTACCATATTTTAATCTTTGATTTTTTAAGGGTTTCTTTTTTTCTGCTATTTACATTGAATTTGCTTCTTCGGGCCCTTCAACTCATTTCCCCCGAAACCAATAATAATTGGCGAAACGTCAGCAAGTTCGATTGAATGCAAAAGAGTTTCAAAAAATATTCTAGTTCTATGAAAATTTTAGTTTTTTCTGTGATCAATAAATTATTTTAGAGGTGTTTTTTTTGTTTAAGTTTAATTGTGCAATTTTTAATTTATAAAACATTTATTTTTAACCTTTCTAAAGTGCCTCTTTTGTTTAAGTGATTCCTTCCTTTCTTTCACTTTTTACTTTTTTTTCTCAGACAGTTTTCTTTGTAGAATGAAGCAAGCGCACATGAGCAAACACCTCGAAGAAAAAGCTTAGAATAAAAGATCGATGCAGGAGCATTTACACCAGTTTTTATAAATAATGATTTGTTTATATCCAAGGGGTCTTGCTTAAACAAAATACGCATCTGCTGAGCCCAGACCACTCGGTACTCGCATAAATTACATTTTCGCTTTGGGAACGGAAATGTAACAATTAAAATGTATTCCGATTATTTTAATAATGCAGACTTAACTGTAAACAAAAACCAAATACTTTCAAACTCACAAATTGAGGCTGGTATTTGTTTGTTCAAAACATTCCTTTTTTTCTTTGCCAAAGGATTATTAAAACGGAGACTTAACCCGCCGATAGTACTCGAAAAATGGAAAATGTCATACTTGTCAACCATCCACAAAAAAGGAGACAGAAGCAACTGAGTGGATGACGAGTAGACAGTTTACACATGATAGGCTGTTGCACAAAATATAGATGACATCATATACGTGACCCTCAAACTTATGGAGGAATATGACAAGTGGGGTTTGGAAGTCAACATCAACAACACCAAATACAACAACAAGATCTACGGCTGGCAATAGGGCATACCATTAAACACTGCAGTGGATACAAACATCTGGGAATGAAAATCGAAAAAGCAATAGCAGAGAGGAATGCGAAAGGAAGAAGACCAAAATATAAATGTAAACAACAAAAAAAGAATTTACAATTCAATAGTTAATAGCATCATAACAAAGTATGGCTTCTGAAAGAAAAAACACAGAAAACACTAAGAGTCACGCAGAAGAGCGGCTGGAAAATCTAGAAGAGGCAGAATACCAAATGATACGATAATACAGAGCATGGAAATAAAACACCATATTATAAACGAAATTAGAACTCACCAGCTGATATGGTATGGGCAACTACAGAGAATGCCACAATAGCGAATTTTTTAAAAATCTTTCTTTCAATCACTTTTTCCTTTGGAAAGTCCATTCCATTTGGTCTTTCATTAACAAAAGATTTATTTGTTTTCGATTTCGATTTGGATTCGATTTGTCATTGTTCTTCGGTTATGCCTTGATCTTGGTAACTCTAGTGTTAATATTATGTTTATCCCTTTTGTGGATGTTTGTTCTCTCTTTGGAGTTACTAATTCTAACAAATTCTTATATTATTTTCTTTTTTTGTCTTTGTCAGAAATGATTTCATTTTCTTTTAATTTACTATTCGACTTTTATTGATTCCATACACCCTCTATTCACTTACAGTTTAATCGAATGTCTAAAAATCTCCCAAAAATGAAAAATCGCGCTACTCACATAAAACTTTGAGCGTGATGTGCTTAGTGTCCGGTTGTCCGACCCCGTTGTCCGCGCTGCACTGATATTGTCCGGCCGAATGTCTGTCAGCATGTTGGATGACCAGCGACAGGCCATTAACGCTCCTCTCGCCGCTCGGAAGGACGTTGTTTTTACGAGTCCAGGACACGACCGGTACAGGGTTGCCCGATGCCCGACATTCCATTTTCACAGTCGCTCCTTGGGCCACCTCTAACGGGCCGGTGTGCGACACGTAGTGGATCCTTGGCGGAACTGAAAATAAATTTAAACCGTCGGCTATTTTTTCGGAAATATATTTTAAAAAATCGTGCACTCATATGTCATACGTCTTATCATTACAGCAGGTTGGCCGGTCTGTCATCATCTATGCTCATTTCTAATATTTCTAAATTGTTTTCTTGACTCTTAGTTGAGGACATGTTGCGTAAGCTGTAAGCTGTTTATAATATATATCTTGATGTATACATTTCAACCACTTCATTTCACATGTGCACCATTTACGCATTTTGAATATTACTCAGTTTTATTACTAACACAAGTGGGTAAAGTTCGGTGTATTTTTTTCGGTGAGTATGTCGAAAAAAAATTCCAAGAATTGCCCAAGAATTTTTTACAAGTTTAAATCGAAACTGAGTTGCAAAGTAGTGACGGTGAATTTTATAGTGACGCGCCTGAAAATAATAGATTTGATAGTGATAATATTAGTGATAGTTACAAAAAGACAGAAAACCGTACCTTTACCATCAAGTTCTGGCAGCAGTGAAGAAAACGAGAATATAATACAACGATGTCCATGGCAGGACGTGCCACGGTGTCACTGGATTCTACTTCTGGGAATAAAATGGTAGGACAACAAATTCCTCATACTTGTACGAAACCCATAGAATATTTCAAGCTCTTTATACCGGTGAGCTAATAATAAAAATAGCATAGAAGAGATTGTCAAAAATTTCCAAGAGTTTTGGTCACAACATTCTAACGCCAAAATATCTTTTTTTGTGGCATGTTTATGTTTGGCTGCTCCACTTGCATAAAAACCATCTGTCTTAGGGCTCGATCTCAGAAAGTCAGTCACTATTTAGAATATTTGGACAAGCAATTCAAAGAATATTTTGTCCCATCAAGAGAGGTTGGTAGACGAATCTGTTATTGGATTTAAGGGTAAAATTAGTTTTTAACTTACAATCCTAACGAACCTACGAAATGGATGATACGAATTTATGTAGGTAATGGCGGATTCCGTATTAATGAAGCTTGATATTGGAAGATTTAGTGGGACCTGATTTACCTGTAAGCACAAAGATAGTGTTACATATACGTAACAAAATAATAGGCATTAACCCAGAATGAAGAGGATATCATTTTTGCACTGATAGATACTATATGAGCTTGCCACTTGCAGAAGAATTGTTATAACTAAATGTTCAGTTGACAGGTACTATTCAAATCAACCGCAAATTGTTAACACTTCGACTGGCTAACAAAAAAAAACTTGAAAAAAAAAAGCTAAAAGATAACGGGGTGGTAGACTCTTATTGAAGTATTGAAAATAGTACAGTGTACTCGCGAAAGGACATATATACGAGTGCAAAGGGTGAAAATGATATAAATATTAGAATTTGGGGGTATCTGACGACCAGTGGCCAAACTAAATCCAATTTTCAAATCCCAAGTTCTTCCCAGTTGGATAGAGGGCGTAAAAGTTCGATATCGCAACTACTAGTATAGCAGGTGAAGTTTGGATTAGTGCGAATTTAATCTTTTCAGTACGTTCGTGTTGCGGAGTTATAGATCTCTCTGTATATGTTGCTCCTATGGAGGAAAATTTTTCATAGTTGGATTTGACGTATGCTCGTCCCTTCCATGGAAAAATAAAACATCTTCTAAGCTATATTTTTGTGCTCATAAAAGAATACATTTTAGTTTTCCTGCACAGATACTTTTTGGAGGATAACCGAGTTTTACAAGCAGTCAACAAGTACGATAACATTTTGCTCACCTAGTATCTCCAATGTATGAGTAATCTCCCTTGGTTCCATGGTTCCTATCTGGCAAACATAATCCCCAGCATCTTGAGGCTTGACGTCTTTCAGCTCCAAACTGTACCCGCCTCCGGATAGTTCCGGGATTCCGGGTACACCCGATCCGGACACCGAAGCACCCACTGCCGGCGAAGGTAACAACCGAACCCTAGGATCGGGTGTCACTTTGACAGGACCCGCGGTTAGCACCGCTATGCCCCTTTTCCACGCCAGCACGTAGCTTCCTGCAACGGAACGGGACTCATTAAAAGCAGCAAGGAAGTCGTGCGAAAGACACCTCTCTTACCCGGCTGCGTTATCCTGCAAGGCAGGACAACCGTACTTCCGGTAGCGATCCGGTAAGTCTGACCTGGAGTCACAAAGGCAGGCGGTTTGCCCTCGGGGATCATGTCGAGCTCGTTACTCTGCGGCACCGATTCGAATCCTGAAACAACGGACGAAAAATAAATAAAACTGAATAAATAAAAGGAAATTTTGTTGTACGCGAAATAAGATCCGAACAGATTTTCTCGGTCCCACGCGGCTACGCTTTTTGCTTGCTTGGGCGTCACGGAAGGCTTATATGTTTTCGGGTGGGGTGTGCCTTTACAAAAAATAAAATAAACACCGTATAAATTAAAAGCAAATGCTGCTAAGCATCCGCTTTCAAAAGGTAAATTCACAGATATATCTAAGAGAAAGCATAATTATGGACATCGCCCTATAGTTTTGGTTAGCCAGAACCAGCTACACACTCCCTAGCTTAAATTTTCTACGTTTCCAAAGATCTCCCAAAACTTCGGTAGACTTAAGATAATTATGAACATCACCTTATAGTTTTGGTTAGCCAGAACCGGTTCATCACTTCGTAACTTAGATTTTCTACAATTTCGGTTGGTTAAAAATTATTATAAAGGTAATTATAAATATCACCTTATGTTTTTGGTTAGTCAGAATCAGTTATACACCGCGTAGCTTATAATTTCTACGTTCCCAAACTTCTCCCAACAACTACGATCTGTTAAAGATAGATAAACATCACTCTATATTTTTAGTTAGCCAGAACCAGTTACTGCTTCGCTTAGATTTTCTACTTGCGCCAAATTCTCCTATCAGCAATCGGTTGCATATAAAATTTCCGACATCAGCAATCCCTGAAAGTCGTAACGAAGCAACACTTTCTAAGTATTCTTAGGATTCGAGTGTCTATCAAAATTTTTAATCACCGTACTAATATAAAACGTGATACAGGTTTCTACCTGTATACGCTACCAGCGACGGGTATTTAGGATGCATGCAGAACAATCGGCCCTGTTAAGTTAAGTTAAGATTCAGACGATATTCTAGTTAGTTTTGCTAGCGACAGCCAATCTCATTTTAAAGGTAAATATTTTTATGGAACAAGGAAAAAATTACCTACGATGTGTTTCAATTCGGAACTGCCGAAAAGATATGTAGATGATTTCTTGGAATCCAGAATATTTGTAAATAGTATGACAATAAGCTGTGGAGGTTATCAAAACTACACTTAACCAGAACCAGTTTTTACAATTTAAAGGAAACTTCTGTAATGAAAAATAATAATAATAATAATATTAATAAGAATAATAATAATAATAATAACTCCAGAAAGCAGTCATTCTATCAATCTGCAACATAACGCGAAAAGTGTTAAGCCAAAAAATCACAATAGAACATTAGACGTAAAACTCCACTGTTTTTGTGACAATACTTGACCGACACTAGAATCTCGACCCGTCCTTACCTGCGTGAATAAAAAAAATATATAACAATAACAATAACAACGGCAATAATAATAATAATAATAATAATAATAATAATAATAATAATAATAATAGTAACAATAATAATAGTAATAATAATAATAGTAATAATAATAATAGTAATAGTAATAATAAAGGTCTTTAATTAAATTATAAACAATATAAGAATAACAAGTTTGACAAGGTTGATTCAGTCAACGAAATCCTAGTATACTGTTATAAGTCGTGAAAATACATAAATTGATAATTAAATAAAATGATAAAAGGATCAAACACAAAGTAATAACAATAGTTCATTTCATTTAGGACGCAGTTATCTATGTATTTCTTTATTTTGTAGTGTTTGAAGAATTTTAGTTTTAAATTTTTTGAATTTGCTTACGTTTTCTCTTTTATTTGGTAAATTAGTTAAATATGAAACAATATCATATTTTTGAAAATCGGAATAACGGGTTGAAAAATATCGAACAGACAAAAAGAAGAACCAAAGGTGAAAGATCAGTTCGACACTTCGAAAAATAACGATATCAGCAAACCATTAACATAACCTCTGGTCCATTTGGGATTCAAGCCACCTTTCCACTTCCCCCGCCGCCGACAGATATTTAAGATGCATCCAGACCAATTGGTACTCAGATTCGGACAGCGCTTTAAAGAAGTTTGTGGAAAGGTTAGAGAGACAGCGTCAAAATTCAGAACGTATCAAAAAACACCCGCTAATTTCTAGAGAAAATATAATACTAAAATATAAAGTTAGTTGCTTGGTAAAATAAACCTGTTTCAGAACAAGCCTCAAAAAAAATCGGCCTGTACGAAACTTAAGCCACAGATATCATGTTTTTGAGACAAGAACCAATATGCTCCGTTTACAATTCGGTTCAGGTTTAAACTTGAAAGTAGCATTCATTTCCGCGGAGAAAATGGTTTCGGCTTCGGAAAAAACGTGTGAACGTGGAAAAAATCGTTGGGCGCCGCCTCCGGAACCCTGCCGAAGTAAAAGTTGTCGTAAGAGATAAACTTCTCTAACTAAATAACGTCACTTACTTAACAAGATTTAACTTTAAATCGTTTTCCTGTTTGCCAAGTTGCGAATTCGTTGCCGAAAAGCTCGAGCAAGTACAAATTACTTCCCGTTTAAGTTCCTTGGGCGTTTTGTGTTCGAGTGCGTCGCTGAATGGAACTGTAAAGGCGGCAGTGATCTGTAAAACGCGGGTAATGAAAAAAGTTTAAACCTCCGGCGATGAAATATCTCGCCCCGTAAGTACAGTAAACTTGGATAGATGCGCGGTGTCATGACTCTTTGGTATAGTCTGTCTTAATCTTCGTCGTGCTGGCTTTTGCCCGCAATTATGCAAGTTACCTGCCGACGGCAATTAAACTTGGGTCCGGTAGGTATTAAAGGACCGAACATTACGGACGGAATGAAATGTCTTATTTTTTGAAGCAGCAACTAGGGACTTGTTTTGTTTTTAAAATGTCCTATCATGGCCAACTAGCACTCTAATATTTAAGGTGGCCGTGACAGGTCATGTAAGAATCCCAATTAATTCAAAGTAGAACAATTTTGATAATTGTTATTTAGCTTGAAAGAAACACACATCTCTAATTATTGCTGGTACATATTAATCCATCCATCCATCTCGAATTAATTTTGATGTTAATCTTTAAAAAAATCTAATAAAATACATATACGTAATATATCGTTATCAATAGGTTTGACTAGAAGAACATACAATAACGTAAACCTGATAAAACAGACTTCTAAAGCTTCAACATCATCAGCACTTTCGTTACACTGACCGTTGAATTAAAATTTGTAACACAAATTGCGGAAAACACAAACCGCAGTATTCTAACAGTGTGGCGATATTTTAAAACACGACCCTCAGTCTAGCGGAAGTCGGATGAGGCCACTCATAGACACAGTATTGGCAAGAAGGATATCGGTAGCGGCCGCCAGCTTTTAAACAGTGGAGAAGGGCGTGGGGAGTTTTTATAAGGGCGCCACGTATTTATACACCACCTAACCCGCCAAGGAGATAGAGTTTATTACTGTGTCACAATAACAACAAACTCGGTTGACACGGAGTATTAGAGTTTAATTATACAAATGTTGGTACATGAGTATATATATATATATATATATATATATATATATATATATATATATATATATATATATATATATATATATATATATATATATATATATATATATATATAAATATATATAAATAAGTCAAATGTAAAAAGGGAACGGTAAAGTCAGTCAATCGGAACGTGATCTTATTAGTTACCCCGCTATAGCGCCGCAAGGATTAGCGTCAACCGCCGGTAGTTTCAAGTCGACCAGGTAGATAGCGCGAAACCGAACGAGCGATTTATGACGTCATATATCTTCGAACAATGCGCATAGTATGAGAGGGAAGCTACCGAGCTTCGACACTAAACGAGGGTGTCTATAGAGTTACAACACAATCGAGGGTTATTACTAATAATTTAAGTTTACATACGTTAAATGACCTGAGCTGACTCAGGTGTATAACCGATAGATAACCGTAAGGTTTCACTCGTCTACTCTCCTAGCTCCAACCTTCCTAGTACGGCACTGCTGCGTACGCTTACACCGTGTTGCGGGCACGAACTTCTAAGTGGTGCGCGTGCTGCTCGGGAACGTGTAGTACCCAAACCGAGCCAGTCATAAATCCAAACGCGCCAGGTAGGAGGCAGGTAGAACAGGCAAGTCCAAGATCCAGGAAAAAAAAAAGGAAGATCCAAAACGGAGAAAGAACCAATCGGAAATTAAAACCGGGAACTAAACGCCAAGTAGGAAACCCTGTAAACAAATTCCTCAGTTTACAGTGTACTATAGCGGAAGATTCTTACCTCTAGCGAGGGTTTTCCACGCTTCCGCTCGCTTAACGACTCGTGCAGCCTGAATACAACACAAACCAATGGCTGCAATTACCACAACTCCAAACGACGGAAGCTAACCAGCTTAGCGCCTCTATACACAGCAGTGTTATAGGATCCCCAGTGATCGAAGGCGGAATCAATAGCACGTGGAGGCGTGAGCCGATAATCCCACAAAATGCTGCGTGAGCTGTTCAGCCAAATCCCAATAAGCCCTGGAACGGCCTCACTCGCCTCCCTCTCGGCTTCTACACAACAACAACTCACACGCAGCGGTTTTCGCTTTTTACTCCCCAGCAAAAATGGGTTCCGGTGGAAGAAGATTATCACCACTACATGAAATTTCCCAATACTACGTTAGAAATATCCTTTTAATGGCTTGTGCTAACTGTACCTAGTAACGTATAAGTGCAATAAGATCCTAAATAAAAAAATTGCCTGTGTTACTATGGAGACCTCCCGTTCGAAAATTTTACCAGGGTTCTTGACGAATTGGCGGAAGCGCTAACGGTGAAGAATAGACCGTTACAACAGATACTCAGGAATTTCAAAACATGACATTTTGTTTGTTCTTAAAATAAGCTACCATGGCCATCTAACGCGCGTGCTTTAATTATTGAGCCCAATATTAAGGCACAAGAAAATTTTTTTTCTTAGTTGGCCATGAAAAGTTATAAAAAAACCTCTATGCAGTTCAAAGCAGAACAATTTTGGCCATCGTTCTTTAATCAAATCGAAATACACATTT